TGTGTGTGTGTGGTCACGTGATGTGCGTTTTCAGCGTTTTGGTGTGGACGGAGAGCAGTTCAGAAACGCTGGGTAAAACGCGAGTGTGGACGCGGATCGTTTTCATTCTAAAACGCCGTTTTAAAACTAATACGCACTAGTGTAAACGGGGCCTTACTGTATGTCCCGTCCTGTTTTCGAATTTTAGTTCAAATTACATCACACTTCGAACAAAAATGCTTATTTCAAAGCACTTCTCATGACCTTTAAATCTCTCTGTCTTTCTTTAAAGGTGTATAATGGTCTCCCCATATGCTTAGAGGAAGAAAAAAAAAATACTGCTACACTCAAATGATTTAAAGTGTGTTTTTTATTATAAAACAATCTATTTTTATCTCACTTGTAAGTCGCTTTGGATAAAATCATCTGCTATATGAGTCGATGTAAATGTACATTTATATATATAGCCAAGTCCTATTTTTACAGTAAAATAAAACTGTATTTATTACTTATTGTGTTATTGCCGTACATATAACAGTATAATAAAGTATTTAATAATAATAATCAATTTAATGGGTGACTAGGTGGCGCATTGGGTATCGCTGTAGCCTCACAGCAAGAAGGTCGTTGGTTCGAGCCTTGGCTGGGCCAGTTGGCATTTCTTTGTGGAGTTTGCATGTTCTCCCCATGTTGGCGTGGGTTTCCTCTGGGTGCTCCGGTTTCCCCCACAGTCTAAAGACGTGCTATAGACCCTTTCAATGTGGTCATGCTGTTGGCCTATGAACATTTCCTGCTTTTTATCAAACTATTTCAAAACTGTTGCAAGATGCAATTCAATAATAACTTAATGTTAAAACAGATATCATCACGTTATTCATCAATGTGTGTGTTTTTTTTTTTTGGATTCTGAAAAGCTGTAGAAATTATTAATGTAAAACAGGAAGTACATTGGGACCATTGTTATTGTTTACATCCCTCAAATTGGTCTACAGGTGAATTGAATAAACTAAATTGGGTGTAGTGTATGTGTGTGAATAAGGTGCATGGATGTTTTCCAGTACTGGGTTGCAGCTGCAAGGGCCTCCGCTGTGTAAAACATATGCTGGATAAGCTGTGGCGACCCCTAATAAACAAAGGCACTAAGCTGAAGGAAAATTAATTAATGAATGAACATAATTTTAAATTGTGATCAAATTTGTTTATTTATTTATTTATTTATTTGTTTATTTAATTAATATTTTTATTTATTTATTTATTTATTTATTTATTTATGTATTTATTTATTTATTTATTTATTTATTTATTTATTTATTTATCAGTGCAACGAAAAAAAATTGTATTTATATCTTAGTTTCTTAACTTATTTTAAAAAAAAGCATAAATCCTAATGCAGGGTAGATAATATTCAATAATATTACAACAGTTACTGTGAAATAAAAATTGACACTATTTACTTGGTTTGCTCACATTGCAATTTCTGAGGTCAACAATTAATCTGCACAAGTTAATCCGCAGAATATAAGTGTTTGTTTTTGTAATCTTCAATCAAATCTGCAAATGTGCTTCTACTCTGGACTGGCATTCTGTCTCAGTTTGACGACTTGAGCAGAAAATCTCTAACCGAGAACTTCTCCAACTGTTAGTTTTTTGCTAGTGAGAGATGGTGACGAGGAGCACTAAATTCCAATAAACTCTAAGCACTAAAGTCCTATATTCAAAATTCTCTAAGCCAACACGCCAACATGGGGAGAACATGCAAACTCCACACAGAAATACCAAGTGACCCAGCCGAGGCTTGAACCAGCGACCTTCTTGCTGTGAGGCAACAGAGAATGACTGTATCGGAGGCTCCATATTCCTATTTTCACCTTCTTGATCAACTTTCTGTTTGGAACCCAAGCCTAGGCAAATAACTGAGAAAGCATAAATTTTAAACCACATTTTTATGATGTCATTTTCTAGATTTTACCACTATCTAGATTTTTTATCTTTAGATTTTACAGTATTTTAAAAATACAAAATACAAGACACTAAAGTATTTTAATAGAACATATGACAATACAGGCTCATTCTGAAAACATAGTCACGCGGATGTTTCTGGAGACCGCGAATTATGTAGCTGGAGGTAAGTATGGCTGTATTTAATTTTTTTAAGCGAATGCTAAGGGGGCAGTATGACGCCGTTCCTTTTGGTGCTTACCGGCTGACCGCTTGCCTCCATGTGGAGGGCTTTCCCGCTACAACTAGCTTGTCCAGTTAGCTTGTCGTGTACATCGGCAGACTTGAGAGGCAAAGAGGAGTTGACTACAATGATGACAACATCTGTGTTCGAGTCCAGGGAAAAGTGGTTCCAGAAATCAGGTGAGACAAAAACAAAAATCCTGGTAAAAATCAGACGAGGGCTTTCCTTTTTCTGGATGGCTTTTGTAAACCGTTGGTTGGGGTTAGGGAAGTAAGCGGGCGGGCGGGTCAATCTGTAAAATTGGTTGAGTTTAGGGAAGGAGGAGGGTGGGTCGGCAATTCAATCATTCAATAGATCTAAAGCAGCCTCTGGTGGGTTCATGCGAGAACAGCGTGGGGGCGAAAGGCACTCGTGAGAGACATTTGAGATGTGAAAAAGCGCATACAGCGGCCTGTCTCGGATTTGCAAAAACAAAAACTGCAAAAATACATACTTCCCGGGACGTATTTCGCGGTCTCCGGAAACGTCCACAGGACTACGTTTTTAGAATGAGCCTGGGTTGAAATATCAACCCATTTCCATAAACACTCTAAAATACAAATTACAAAGTACGAAGAAATACATGTATCATAAATACTGCCCATCCCTGATAATATTTACACTAAAAATAATACTATATTGACCGATACTTATATGGTCACTGAAATGCTCTGCCTCACAATTAAACATGACAGTCTTTCAGTTGGGATGTTGTCCTCACTATGACACAATATGGTGGTCAGGTTTCCATCGTAACGCAAAGAGATACTTTTCGTAAAATTTCGCAAAAATCATACATGCAAATTAGGTGAATTTCAATCTTATTATTAGAGTGGCTGACTGTAGTATTGGTAACCTATGGCCCGTTTCCACTGAGTGGTACGGTTTGGTTCGGTTTGGTACGCTTTTAGTAACCAACAGTAAGCAAGGCGAGCCAAATGGAAACAGATGATTGGTCACGTGGGTGTAATGTGTGCTACGTCAGAGGTTATTCAGGAAATACGTTTCCATCTCCCATAAATCGTATTTAAGCCTTTTTTAAACAAATCCTAATCTTCCTTAAGTGAGCATATAAACTTTTTTGGTGCATTTTTCCAATCCATCACCTATACTTTGAAATGCGCATTAACACAGGGTGATAATAGTATATAATATGACCGATTCGGTGATAATGTCGAACAGATTGTGTTAAAATCAGGCTAATATTGTGTAGTCTGAACAAAAGCTTCTCTTTTGTTGCCTAAAGTTCTGCACTACTACTAAAAATCTTAGCATAGGAAATGGCAGCTGATGGGATTTCACCATCGCCGAATTGCTATATTGATTTGATTTCGGTGAATTGCTCAGCCCTGTTCTCGATTCTCTCTCCATCATTTGTGTGTTTCTCTCAGGTTCTCACTGTATCTCTGGATCTTCATATCTCAGCGGATCTGGCAGTAGTAGCCAGTTGTCATGGTAACGGCAGAGCGCAGAATCCCGTGGGATTGTGGGATTGTGTGTTGTGCTGAGGCTGGCCAGTGTTTGACTGCTTTACAATTACAATTAAACTTGCGCTTGACTTTCATGTACACCTTTATTTCACTGTACAAGCTGACCAGGAGGAACTGTGTTTTGCTCTGGAGTGGTCCTTTCACTGCTCAGGAGAAAGTGTCAGCTTTGTGTTAGATATCTTTAAAGAAATACAATCAATTGAAGAGACTTAAATGACACAATTTTGAACATAGAGTAGGGCTATAGCTCTAACAGAAGCTTTTTAGTATTAGAGGTAATTTTAATGAAAGTATAAAAGGAATATATATATATATATATAGGTTTTATAATGAATAAATAATTGTAAAACATTAAATAAAATATTAAATAAAATATATTTATGTATAATACAAATATATTCAAATAATAGTGTTTTTATTGTTACATACATAAATACATAAATAATTAAAAATGTATAAATTATATAAAGATCCATATATATATATATATATATATATATATATATATATATATATATATATATATATATATATATATATATATATATACACACACATTTTAAAACTATATATATATATATATATATATATATATATATATATATATATATATATATATATATATATATATAATAAAGAAAAAAAAAATTTCAATATAAATTAAATATATATATTAAATTAAAAATGCATTAAATTTTATTAATTTTTATTAAATAAAAAATTAAGGCTTATTAAAATGCAATATAAAAAATAATAACAATAAAACAGCTCAGATAATTAGGTCTTGAAAGAATTTTAGAAATGAATGAGTTGATATTTTCTGAGTTAAATGGCATAATTTAATATTAATAATAATTACTTACATTTATTTAGTGCTTTCCTGGATACTCAAAGCGCTTTACACATTGGGGGGAATCTCCTCTTGGCAGCCACATCCGGGATTCTTAATGACTGCAGAGAGTCAGGACCTCGGTTTTAACGTCTCACCCGAAAGACAGTGCTAACTGTGCAGTATAGAGTCCCCTTCACTATACTGGGGTGTTAGGACCCACACAGACCACAGGTTGAGTGCCCCCTCACTAACAACATTTATGGCACCACCTAGCTTTCCCATGCAATCTCCCATTCTGGTACTGACCGGGGACAGCCCTGCTTAGCTTCAGTGGGCGACCATGTGAGAGTTGCTGAGAGCTTTAATCTTGTTAAATTAAAGCACAGTCAGTGTAGAGATCCTTACAGAAGGAGATGTGCTGTCAAGGAGAAACCACTGAGACATCAAGAAGATCATCATTTTTTACATTCACATTTACCTGTAAAAGTAGGAGCATCCGCGGACAGTGTTGTGGCTGAAATAATCTTGGCTCTTTTCGTTGCCAAAGTCCTCCAGCGGGTCTGACCACAGCAGATCACACATGGGGCCGAACGCCGGAGGCTCCTTGAACCTGTCCAGCTGACAGATCAACAAAGAGACTGTCAACAACATCAATATAAATTAAAAATGATGTTTGATAATAATCACAAATCAATAAACAGTATCCAGTGGTGGAAAGACTACTGTAAAATCACATTCAAGTGAAAGTACTTTTATTATAAGACTGGCAGAAAATAAAAGGTTGGCATTATCTAGGATGATATGGAACTAGAACTATACTCTAGAACTAGAACTATATCTTGGAACTATACTCTCATTCTGGCGTAATAAACAGGCTGTGTGTTTACTTAAGGTTGGAGCTAAAATATAGAGGACACCAGCCCTCCAGGACCGAGTTTGAACACCCCTGGTCTAAAGGGTCTTGCACTCATTTCGTTGCATCTTTGTGGACATTTTTCACAATTTTATTGAAGGAATTACAGGACTGATTAGTCTACTTAGCAGTGTTGGGGAAAGTTACTTTTGAAAGTAATGCATTACTATTTTGAGCTACTCCCCAAAAAAGTAACTAATTGCGTTACTTAGTTACTTTTATGTTAAGTAATGCAATATGTTACTTCTCTGTTATTTTGCGTTACTTTTTCTAACCAAAAACTTTTTTTCTCTTCTCAAAAAAATGTTTCCCTTCTTTTTTAAATAGAGAAGCTCTGCAATTAAAACTACTCATTTTGTTACTTGGTCATTTTTTTTTTTTTACTTTATATACTTTGTTATTTTGTTATATTTGTGCTTTTTGGACCCTCTAGGGATAAAATTTACATTGCTAATTGTAAAGCATAGTAAAGTGAAATTGACAGAAAGATAGTTATGCTTTATTTGTGCACAGCCTGTATATCAAGAAGAAAATACAGTAGGAGCATAAGGTGAGATTTAGAGAAGATCCATCAAACATCTGCTGGTAGAGCCCAGCCTTAAGTCTAAAAAATTTCAAATTGGCCCAGATTTGCTCAGTCAGGTCTTTCTGAAAATGAGTCTAATATATATATATATATATATATACACACACACACACACACACACACACACACACACACACACACACACACACACACACACACACACACACAGACGTCACTAACAATGTAATTAAATGAAATGACACGACAAGAGGGAAAAATTTAAACATGTAAAGAAAGGCAGTTGTAGAAAAGCATGGAAAGCCCAGACAGCAGCCGAAATCTCTCAGTAGTTAGAAACAGTGCTTCAAGATGATGAAGATGAATCCAGGGTGGACATTTTACCAAGACAATGATCCCAAACACAGCCAAGGAAACTCTCAGTTGGATTCAGAAAAGAAAAGGAGGCTGCTAGAATGCTCCAGCCAATCACCTGACCTGAATCCAACAGAAAATATGAACTAAAGACCAGAGCTGATAGACAAGACCCACAGAACGTCACGATTTTTAAACTCGATTGAAGTCTGGGGCGTTGGGTCACACCTGGGCAATGGCCATGGCTTTATTCTTCAAACAAAAAAGACATATTGAAGTTGCCATTACCAAGCCTCTTTAATACAACGTTTAGATTTCAGTAGTTCAGTACTTTTTTCCTTGTGTCAATTTTTCTAAAATGTTTTTGTTTCGTTTCGTTTGTATGTTAGGATTGTTTGGGTTTTTACCAAAATCTAGGTCAATTTTATGTCAACAGCCCCTTTAAAAATATATTTAACATTAAAAATCATAATTTGTCAGCACAGTTTGCTATAGATCCTGCCTAAAACAGTGATTTCCATTATGGGGCAAATCAAAGGGTTTCAAATGGGCTTGTAAAACCATTTCTGGATAATTTTTGCACTTATCCTTGCTGAAAAATCCAGCTTAAGCCAGCCTAGGCTGGTTGGCTGGTTTTAGCTGGTTGACCAGGCTGGTTTTAGAGGGATTTTGGCCATTTCCAGGCTGGTTTTGAGCCATTTCCAGCCTGGTCTTAGCTGGTCAGGCTGGAAAATGACCAGCCAAATCCAGCTAAAACCAGCTTGACCAGCCTGGTTTAAGCTGGATATAGCTGGTTTTGGCTGGACTCCCAGCTTGGCTAGGCTGGTCAAGCTGGTTTTAGCTGGTCATCTCCCAGCCTGACCAGCTAAGACCAGGCTGGAAATGGCTGTAAACCAGCCTAGAAGTGGCCAAAACTAGGCTGGTTTAAGCTGGATTTTTTTAGCAGGGATCTAAGCCACTTACTGTATCTAAATCACTTAACTTCTATGTGGATATCAGAGAACAATTTTAAGGAACACCAAGTTAAAAAAATAATAAATTTACAACTCCCCCAGAGTTAAACGGTTGAGTTTTACCATTTTTAAAATCCATTCAGCTGATCTCCAAGTCTGGCAGGAGCACTTTGAACTTAGCTTAGCATTTAGCTTAGCTTTGTTGTTGTAGGGTACCATGGCAGCAGCAGGTACAATGATATTATGCAGCATTTTTCAGACCTTCTCAGGTACAGCTTGTTTATTACACCAGAATGAGAGTATAGTTCCAAGCCATATCGTCCTAGATAATGCCAACCTTTTATTTTCTGCAGTCTTAGCACACAATGTAACTACAGATGAAACAATGCTTTTAATAGGAACGTCATCAAACTATTTGGTCATTTTGAGTGATTTGCCAATGGTCTAATCTGATTCAATGATCTATGCTAAGCTAAGCTAAGCTAAAAGTATTTCTGCCAGACCCAGAGATCGTCTAAATAGATTAAAAATGGTAAAACTCAACTGCTTACTCAAGGGGTGTTGTAAAATGAGCCTACTTACCTCCCAAAAAGAGCCCCTTAAACAATGTGTCAATGTATTTTATAGCAGTGTTCACTTTTATATCAATGTCTGTTGAATTGTACATTTTGGAATGCACATTATTTTGCACAGTCCAACACTGCTGCTCACCCTCTTGATGTCGTCTAGCGTGTGGATCTCGGGAGACAGACCACCATGAACACACAGAAACTGCTGATTCATCAGAGCGGCCAGAGGCAGACAGTCGAACGCATCCATGCATGCATCGTACACCTGCTCCGAGTATTTGATTTTACCTGAAAGGAGGAAAGACAGCGATCACACACCTGCGCACAGCTACTGATTTCACAGAGGGTCTGAAGTAATGTCACTCCGGCGCTTCCTCTTAAGGGCTGATTTTCTCTGTATGAATCTCATTTGTACATTAAGCTCCTGCATTCATTTGCACTTTGCGAGGACACTGAAGGAGCGCTGTGTAAGTGTGTGTGTGTGTGTGAGAGACAGGCTGTGCTGTGTCAACCTCACTGCTCCAAATCTACCAATCTGCTCAGCAACATCACTGCAGCACTGAATCTCTCAAACACTGGCTCTCTAATGACAGCCGATCAGTCAACATGTAAAGTTCTGACATGTCGTATTGTGGTAATGTTAGAATACAGATGTGCTTTTGTGGAGAATCAGCATTGGATGCGATGATCTTCTTCAGTTGGTTTAATCTAGTCTTACTCTGGAGGTAAATTAGCTGAATATAATCCCACAAAATGTCTTTTTGAAAGATTAGATTGGAACAATTTTGGCTTTGTATTGTAAAGCATTGCAAATTATTAGCAAATATATTTATTTTTTATTTGACTATAAATTTATCTATATGTATATATTTATTGAGAAACTACTTTCTTACGCCATTCATTCACATATGCAGCTGGTCAGAACAGCAGAAACAGCTGCTACTTCAACGTCACTTTAGAGCCAGTACTTGAATGATTCTTTAGCGTAATGTCTAAAGTGATGACAAAACAGGTAATTTTACTCGCATTTTAAGGTCATAAGGCTGAACGGCATGAAATGCCATCAGTCTACAGAGACCTCCCAGTATTTCTCTGTTGCACCTGTTTTACGCAGTTTATGCCCTTCTAGCTGCAACCCATCACTGGGAAACACCCATACACAGTCAATCATACACATACACTATGGCCAATATAGCTTATCCAATTCACCTATACTACATGTCCTTGGACTTGTGGGTTAAATTGGAGGACCCAGAGAAAAGAAAACCCATGGGAACACGGGGAAAACATACAAACTTCACACAGAAATGCCAACTGACCCAGCCGAGGCTCAGATATATATATATATCCTTGTCTTACCTACTGTGCCACTGCGTCGCCTTATATATATATATATATATATATATATATAAGGCGACGCAGTGGCACAGTAGGTAGAGCAAGAAGGTCGCTGGTTCGAACCTCACCTTGGCATGGCTCAGCAGGCATTTCTGTGTGGAGTTTGCATGTTCACATGCAGTACAGGTGAATTGGGTAAGCTAAATTGTCCCTAGTGTGTTTATTTGAATGAGTGTGTACTGATGTTTCCCAGAGATAGGTTGCAGCTGGAAGGGCATCCACTGCGTAAAACATATGCTGGATATGGATACGTTGGTGGTTCATTCCGCTGTGGCGACCCCAGATTAATAAAGGGACTAAGCCGAAAAGAAAATGAATAAATGAATATATATATATGTATATGTGTGTGTGTGTGTGTGCGCGTGTGTGTGTTCTGTCAGTCAGCAGATGGTAAAGGAGGACACCCTCTCCTCCTCGTTCTCCTCATCAGGGAAATCACACTCTCAGGCTCTCTGGGCTCAACATTAACAGGCAAATTAATTTTCTGCTAATCATACTCCTGTACTCTTTCTCTTTCTGTCAGACGCTGCTCCAGAAAAGCAGGCCTCCACTCTTGCCTTGACTCTTGATTCTCTTGTTTTGCACTTAGTAAACTGAAAAAGAAGCATCGGGTACTCACATTCTTGTTTGAAAGTGAAATATTCAGTCAAATGTCTACATTCATGGTTTCCCCGCAGCAGAAACAGCGTCTTTGGGTACAGGATTTTCAGCGACCAGAGGTAAAGCACACACTGATGGAGAAAATACATAGACATTTCAAAGATATTCGGATCAAGATATTGTGCAATACACACAATAGAGTGCCTAAGCAGGGCACACTCACCTCAATACTGAAGTACCCTCGGTCCACATAGTCTCCTAGAAACAGGTACCTTGTTGTCGCAGGAGACCCGCCAACCTCAAATAACTTCATCAGGTCAAAGAACTGGCCATGAATATCACCACACACTGCAACCATACAAAGAAAATAGGTTAGCATGAGCCGAAGGAAACACTGCTGCTAGCGAAACAGTAGAAAAATTGTATTGTAATGGCGCAAAGGGCTTTAGCAGAATGATTGGAAAATTGGAAAGCAAAGATCTTAACTATGGTTTCTGTAACAAATAAATAAACCCTGAGGCTATCACAGAAACATCAGGATATTCAGTCAGTTTTCCATGTAACTGCATTAAATTTGATTAAAAAGTTGTTTAAATGTAATATTCAAATAATTACATTGTATATGGAAAAAAAAATAATGTTAAAAATAAACAACTAATACATTAGAACAGTACCAGTGAGCACCTAGATGTCAAAAAACACGTCAAAAACATGTCAAAACCTTGATGTCTATTTGACATCCAAACATTGATGCCCTTTTGACAACCAACAAAACAACACAAACAGGATTATAATGTAACAAATGTTTTATTCATCTGAAAGCTTCAGTTCCAAATGAGAAATTTACACTGGGTTTTGTATCCTAACAATGCGTGTAAAGTATCTTGACGTCAAAATGACATCAAATTGACATCTAACATTGGCATCAATTGACATCAAGGTAGTTACTTGACCTTAAATCAATTATCATATTTGACCTGTTTTTGATGTCATTTTGACATTAAGTTGACTGCTGAGTTTGCCATGATATATTATAACCATTATTTTTCTCCAGCCTTAATATACATATCTAAAAAATTTAAGAAATTTGTAAACATTATTAAAAGGTTTAATTAGAAACATGTTAAAACACACACATAAATAAATTGATCCTAAATTTGCCTTTTTTAAAAGTAAATTAAATATTCTAAACATTTTAATAAACTAATAAACTGTGACTGATACTGAACTACTACTTCTTGTATTTTTAAAATGAGTTTCCGTCATTGAAAACAATATATTTAAAATCAATATTGTAGTGTGTCTGCTGCAGTCATCGTCTAGCTATTACAATTTTACATTTTAATTTAAATTCAATCATTTTACGCTTCAACACCTATAATTTTAAACATGCTAAAGATAGAAAGAATGAAAGAAAGATAGATAGATAGATAGATAGATAGATAGATAGATAGATAGATAGATAGATAGATAGATAGATAGATAGATAGATAGATAGATAGATAGATAGATAGATAGATAGATAGATAGATAGATTTTTTTCTTTTTACATTTTACTGTGAAATGTGTGGTTTTGTAACATTTTCATTTGAAATATTGTGCAACTTTTTTTTTTTTTTTTTACATTTTACTGTGAAACATGGTTTGGAACTTTTTACCGTACAGTGTTTTTTTTTTTTTTTTAAATTACATTTTAATGTTAAAAGTGTTTTTTGGAAAATTTTTCATATAAAATACTGTGAAACTTTTGGTTTTGGAAAATTTTACTGAAGAATTTATTTATTTATTTTTTACATTTTATTGTAATCGGTGTTGTTTTGAAATTGTTTTGGAACATTTTCATATGAAAAACTAAACAACTTGAGGGGTGTTTTATTTTACTGTAAAATGTGGAACATTTTCATATAAAATACTGTGACACGTACTATTTTACATACTAATTTACTGTTAATTTTTGACATTTTACTGTAAAATGTGTTTTTAACCTTTTACTGTGAAACATGTCGTTTTAAAACATTTTATTGTTTATTTTTATATTTTACAGTAAAACCCTTGTCATAACATTCCCACACATGTCCACTTAAAAAAAGTTCTAGGCCCATACTCTTGATTGAACTTTTTTTCCTGTGGGGGCTATTTGCTTGTGAAAAAAAAGACCCTCAGTCACCATTCTGACTGATCCAGCATGTGTGTGTTCAGACAAAAAGCCAGCCCAGCAGGTGATTGTTGTTTTAAATCAACTAAAATGTCTAATTGGAGCTATTCTCATACGGGTTTGTGTTCCCAATGGAAGGTCAAAGGATTAAAGGCCAAAGGGTCTGAATGCACACAAAGCTAACCACCTTTCCCGTTCTCTCTGTTTAATAGGTTCCAGGGAATTAAATCAGTTATCCAGCAAGCCATTAATGTTTAATGACTCCAGTGTGTGAAATTCATACTTCCACCAGCTGATGAGGCTTCAGAAATGCATGCTGGGAGAGCTTTTGGTCTCAGGTGTTCAGTGTCTCGGCCTGCTAAATGATGGCATCTTCATAGCTGAGGAGCAACATCTTTGACCCGCATCAGACCTGCTGCCTGTGCTTAACCTTCGCTTTGACTCATGGGAAATTAAGGCCACTTTGTTATTTATTCTTAAATGCCCACATTTTTTTTAGAGGTCAACATTTTTTGTGAGGAGATTTTCAGTTCAAGAATTCATTAGTATGAAGTGTAATTCTGTGTATCTGCAGAAATATGCAGAAATATTTGTACATGCGTATATTTAACTTTTTAATCAATCTATCCACAATGGAGCATAATGGAAAATACTCAGACATGTTCAATTTATGTTTATGCCAGTAAGTAAATAAAATATACTAAATTTGGAGTTGTTAAGCTCACCAAGCATCCAATTATTTATTCATATATGCAATAAAAACAGAACTATTGTGAAATATTGTTACATTGAACACAGCTGTGCTACTTAATATACAGATGAAGTCAGAATATATTATTCGCCTCCTTGAATTAACACCCCTGTTTAATTTTCCCCCAATTTCTGTTTAATGGGAGAAGATTTTTTTCAACACATGTCTGACCATAATAGTTTTAATAACTCATTTCTAATCACTGATTTATTTTATCTTTGCCATGATGAGAGTAAATAATATTTTACTTGACATTTTTTAAGACACTTCTATACAGCTTAAAGTGACATTTAAAGGCTTAACTGGGTTAACTAGGCAGGTTAGGGTAATTAGGCAAGTCATTGTATAATGATAGTTTGTTCTGTAGACTATAGAAAGAAAAATTTGCTTAAAGGGGCTAATAATTTTGTCCCTAAAATGTTTTTAAAAAAATTAAAAACGGCTTTTATTCTAGCCGAAATAACACAAATAAGACTTTCTCCAGAAGGAAAAATATTATCAGACATACTGTGAAAATGTCCTTGCTCTGTTAAACATTATTTGGGAAATATTTAAAAAAGAAAAAAAAAATCAAAGGGGGCTAATAATTCTGACTTCAACTGTATATATTTACATGTTCCAAAGATAAATAAAATTAATTTGCAACATCATGAGTGTGAGTAAATGATGATTATTTTAATTTTAGGGTGAAACAATTGTTTAGGATGGTGAAAGCACCATTATTTTATGAAACATTACTCGCATGCATCTTGGATGGCCGTATGATGAGTAAAAAGTACACTAAGCCGACAAGAAAATGAATGGTTGAATAAATTATTACCACTTTAAGCTATATTTTTTTGATAGTCTACAGAACAATCACTATACAATGATTGCCTAATTACCTCTAATCACTTAGTTAACCTAATTAACTTAGTTAAGCCTTTATATTGCACTTTAAGCTGAATACTAGCATCTTGAAAAATATCTAGTCAAATATTATGTTCTGTTATCATGGTCAAGATAAAATAAATCAGTTATTAGAAATGAGTTTTTAAAACTATTATGTTTAGAAATGTGTTGAAAAAATAGATAACACTTTATAATAACTACACACTATAATGCTTACGTTTTCTTGTAAGATCAGGCTTTGTTTCCCAGGCTTTGTGTAAAGTTGGTAACACTTTATAATAACTACACACTATAAATCATTTACTAAGCATTACCAAATAGTGAATTCATTATCTGTTAAGCTTTAACTCTACATTAATAAGCGTTAGTAAGCAGTTTATAACTGCAGCTACAAATGCTCTATTCTTGACTTAAAAGCACCTATATAATGTTTAACAATTGTAATTTTATATTTAGTTAATGATTTATTTTTCATTACTAAATTAAGTATCCCATTATTTACAAAGCATTTGTATTTAAGAGTAAATAGGGGATTTAGGATCATTCAGAATGAGTTAGTAAATGATTAATAAACTATTATTATTCAGGCATATATTAATGGTTACTATGTATATAATAAATGTTTTATTAATTCAACTTCATCTAGTTTTGTGACCTAATCTAAAGTGAGGACTATTTATGCTTTATAAATCCTTTATAAATGACAAATAAAGGCTCAGTTAAATTCTAAACGGGAAAAATGACATTTTAATTTAAAGATACACAATTGAATTTGTACTTTAAATGAAAAATAAATCTTTGCAACCTAATCTAAAATACAATCACTGTAGAGTTTAAACATTGCATCCTATTATATTGTTAAATTATTATATTATTATGTTGTTGTTTTATCCAGTTTTATGTTGTATTTTGACAATGTTTACTGTTTTTCAGCAATGTTTAAACTTTATGGTAATTTTACTTTTTAGAAAAGATTGCAAGGATTATTGTTCATTTGAATCTGAGCCTTTAATAGTCATTTATAAGGGATTTATGAAGCATAAACAGTCCTCACTTTAGATTAGGTCAAAAAACTGCATGAAGTTGAGTTAATAAAGCATTTATTAACATATTAGTTAACTATTAGTATATGGCTGAATAACAAGATACATAAATGTTGATTTCAATAGTTAATCAATCATTTAATAACTCATTTTGAATTATCCTATAAAACCTCAACTACTCTTAAATACAACTCGTTTGTAAATAATGCTATACTTAATTAATTAATTAAATAAAAATCATTAACTAAGTATGAAAATACAATTATTAACCACTTTATATAGGTGCTTATAAGTCAAGAATACAGCATTTGTAGCTGCAGTTATAAACTGCTTACTAACACTTATTAATGTAGAGTTAATGCTTAACAAATAATGAATTCACTAGATACTAATGCTTAGTAAATGATTCATAGTGTGTAGTTATTATAAAGTGTTACCAAAAAATCTTCTCTACGTTAAACAGAAATTGGGAGGAAAATATACAGGGGGGTAATTATTCAGACTTTGGGCTCTATTTTGACGGTCCATGCGCAGTGCGCAAAACGCAGGGCGCAAACGCTTTCAGGGCGTGTCAGAATGCATTTTTGCTTATTTACAGACGGGAAAACCTGCTTTGCGCCAAGGCGCATGGGCTAAAAGGGTTGAGTTTTTTTTCCTAATGAGTTATAGGTGTGTTTTGAGAATAAACCAATTAGAGTCTCATCTCCTATTACCTTTAAGAGCCAGCTGCATCGCGCCAAAAGCGCATTCGCTATTTACAAGACGTAAAGTAAGTCTAAGTGGAAAAAATGAGCATTTCAAAAGCAAACAGTTAACAGTTTTTTAACAGAAAACTGTTAAACAGAGCATCTACTGCGGGAGAATAAGAGATAATGGATCACTTTCACTTTCGCTCTTGGATAGGGAAACCTTTACGCACAGAAACCTTTACGGTTTGTTAAGCGCAGATATTCGTTTCAAAACTATTTCTAAATTCAGTTCTAATTTCCAGCAATCGAATAAATGAACAATAATAATCAAGTGTGGTCAAAATACTGAGTTATATCCTAAAACACATGCTGTGCCCCATTTGGTCTAAAACCTGCAGGTGGGCGAATCTAAGCTTGTTTTTAATAAAACAAATATAAATATGGATATAATAAATAATACTGCTAATAATAATAACATTATACAAAAGCAAATTGTTATGAATGAACTGAAAAAGCCTCCCGAGATGAAGAAGACATAAAAGCAGCTATTTTTCATATTTATGTAGGCTAGAAAATAATATATTTTGTAATATTTTAATCCTTTATATTTATATCCTATATCTATTCTTATTATATCCTATATATATCCTTAATATTTAAATTTTTTCATATGTAAAGATATTTGCCTAATGCTCTCTTGTGCGTATTAAGCAGTGCGTAATCGAGGCGCAACTCTGCGCCGGAGTTTAGACCTGGTTAGTTTTGGTCTAATGAAAAATCTATTATAGTTTCTCAAAATAGCAACACGCCAGCAGTGCGCCTCAGAACGCCTTCCTTTTTAGACCAGAACGCCTATGGGCGCACAAATGAGCGCTAATGCATTTGCTGTTTAAACAGCGTAGCGCAACGCCTCAAAACGACTCTTGTGCCAAGCTGAAACTACCAAAAGACTATTGCGCCGCGTCTTGCGCCACACAGCGCCGGGTGTATGATAGGGCCCTTTAACTGTAAGTTATCTACCCAGCTCTGTATGTCAGAGATGTCTGCATGAGTAACCTGTGACAGGAGCCTCGATGTCCAGCATGGTCTTCTCTTGGCGCAGGATAGCGGCCCCTTCATTGACGATGCGTAGGGCGACGGGCTCCTCAACGCGGCCCTCTTTAGTGAGATGAGCCTTCAGCAGGTCCACACGCGGTTTGCCCTCACAGTCAAACACCTCTCGCATGCTCAACCTGTGGCTCAGTGGGAACGGCACCGCTGAAAAGAGAGAAAGAGGAACGCGGAGAAGAGTAAATGATGTGGAAATCCAAGTGGGATCACACTAACTAAAAAAACATCCGCTGCATAGTGACACATCCAGAATGCTGAACAAACTTTCAGCTAGCGTTCAGGCCAGAACACATACTCAATGAAACACCTTCCACTTTTAGATGACTTTGAGAGGAACATGAGGACGAGAGATTAAACTCACTACACGACTTAAAGGATTTGGACAACTCAGGAATATCAGCAATCTACAAAAACAATATTGATAAATATGGATCTGTCACACATCTTAACAGGTGTGTGACAGATCCATATTTATCAATATTGTTTTTGTCATCAGCATCTTAAATCCTTGAATGCTTTATATACATAAAGACTGTATTCTGTTGTGTTTGTAAAACTTTTGTTGTCATAAAATAAAAAAAAAAGGATGAGGACGTCATGTGATCGGTCATCATGACTGCAGCAACTTTGAGCCCCGAAGTGTCCGGCTGTCTGGCTTGACGGCCACGTTTTCAACTCTGCCCCTCGCCTGTGACTGGCTAATCTCATTGATTACCGACTGCAGCTGTGCTTCATGTTGAACGCACCTATTGCCGACGCGAAATAAACAAGTGGTGGCATTTAAAGGCGTGAGACACAAAGCACATGATCTCTTATAACAAAATCACGACTTATTTTATGCGCATACTGGAATTTGGTCACACTTTACAATAAGGTTCATTAGTTAATGTTAAGTAATGCATTTACTAACATAAACACTGAACAATACATTTACTACAGTATTTATTCATGTTAATAAACGTTAGTTAATGAAAATACAGTTGTTCATTTTTAGTTCGTTAACTCATGGTGCATTAACTAATATTAACAAGCATGGACTTGAATGTTAATAATGCATTGGTAAATATTCAAATATGATTAACAAATGCTGTACATGTGTTGTTCATGATTAGTTCATGTTAGTAAATGCATTAACCAATGAACCTTATCTTTCATTGTAGTTTATGTGCATTTTTTCTTATATGAAAAAAGTTGATCCTATTTAGTTATGTTTTTTATGTGCATTTCCAAAGTGTGCGCGCATCTTGATCAATCGTTTTTATGCGCATATCCAAAATGCGCATTACAGTTTTTCTCAGTCGCTTTGGTGCATTTCTCACAACACTATTTACATTTGCACAACAGGTAATGCATTTCTCAAAACAATTAGTCATTTGTGCACATCCTAGTAGCAGTTTCTCATTCTTTTCAACAAATTGCGAATGCTTTTGGACAAGCATCAATTGCTTTCATACAACTCTCTGCTATTTATAACATCATCATCTCCTTATGTCATGTCAGTCAAAATTAACTAAACTTGTAAATGCTGATTAGTCATTCCATATAAAACTATTAGTCCTCATTTCATTACTTGATTCATTACATACAAAAATGTTGAACTAGCTGTCGAAATCTGTCTAGCAAATTTTATTAAAAAAAATTTAATCTTTATATTTTCGTGAAAATGTCTTAAAAATTTAACAATTTGATGAATGATTTACAGACCTATGTGTGTTGTAGGTTCAGTTCCAATATGTTCTGCAATATTGTTTACAGTTGTGCACAGCTCTACCGAAAGGAAGTTTGTGTTGGTTGTAAATAAGGGTGTATTTATTCTTTTGCACAATGCTGTAAATAAATTAGAATTGCAACGAGCAAATGCAGTAAAAATGTGAAACATACATATTCAGTGTCTTGTACTCAGATAGCTCACTAAATGCAGTGATGTCTAACTTTACTGCAAATGGCTGTGCAAATAGTATAGTGCTGTCTTGAGCATTTTCAGGAAGTGTTTCCAAAATCAGACTTTTTTTTTGCATTAAATAAATGTACAGAGTAAACTGTTATAATGAAAACATGACAAAGCTATCTGACTATCGTGTTCATAAACAATGGCGTCAGGATTTTTCATTTTGATGACACTGACACTTTGATTGACATGAATACTTGCTTTGAAGGAATGAACTATCCATTTTGAGCATGTGACACGCTTTTGCAGGTTATCAGCTAGGTTTTGCAGTTTGCACTAATTGTTTTTAGAAATGCATTAACTGTTTTGCAAATGTAAATAGTGTTGTGAGAAACGCACCAAAGCGTCTGAGAAAAACTGTAAGCATTTTCAGGAATTGTCACCAACAGTTGACTTTTTTTGCATTGAAAAAATGTATGAGTAAACTGTCATAAGGAAAACATGACAAAGCCATTTGACTATCTTGTTCATAAACAATGGTGTCAGGACTTTTCATTTTGATGATACTGACAGTTTGATTGACATGAATACTTGCTTTTGAGGAATGAACTATCCATTTTGAGCATGTGACGCGCTTTTGCAGGTTATCAGCTAGGTTTTGCAGTTTGCACTAATTGTTTTGAGAAATGCATTAACTGTTGTGCAAAAATGCACTAGTGTTGTGAGAAACGCACCAAAGCGACTGAGAAAAACTGTAAAATAGTTGGATGGAAGCATAGCTAATGGTTACAGGTTTCCAACATTTTTCAAAATATCTTCTTTTTTGTTCAACTTCAGAAAGAAACTCATAAAGGTTGGAATCACGTGATGTTGAGTAATTAGTATTTTTTTTGATAAACTGTCCCTTTAATAGGGTCTGACAAATAATCAAAATAAAACAAAAACAATCCTAGATATATTAAAATTTAGGATGAAATAGGATCAAACAAATGGGACAAAATAAACACAAAAAGAATGAGAGAGAAGACAAAAAAGTCTGTAAAAAGGTGAAAAGAGAGCAAAACTGTGGCAAAGTGTTACCGGGCAACAGCAGCCAGAGGTTGGCAAGCCACCAGTGAAGCGCATCACACACACAAACACACACACACACACACTGAGTCATAGCAGCCCACATGCTAACCCATTTCTACATCCAAAAAATGTGTTTTCAAAAACTACTTTTTCAGCCTGCATCGAAGCGGCAGAGCTGTGCAGACGTGCCGCAGCAGCCAAAACAATAACTGTGAAGATGAATTCAATCAGAATACATTTCAATGGCTGCTTACAGTAAGTATGTAGCCACTTCTATGGTGCAGAACTGCAGATCATACACACGTTTTACTGCTCAGAAGCTGCTCAGTAGTAGACTAAATAGAGTTGTTAATGTCAGCATGAAATAAAAATGTACTCTTCTTATTTGTTTATGTATCAGTGCTTGTTATTAACGATGTATCTGTGCACTTCATTATTTCATAGAAAATTCATTTGCCCTCATAATTGTTTAATCAAACAGCCTAATCTCCCCATCACCCTTAAAAAGACTTTTATTCACTTTTGGTCACATGGTCTCGATTTAGGGCGGAGCTATCAGGGCATGTCTCGTTTCTGCTTTCGTCAATTTGTCAATCTTCTCCCATTTTCAATAATGCGACAATCATGGGTCTATAACAAGATATTCACCAATAGCAAATCCACCATTCAATTCCAGACAGCTAGACTTACATTTTTTAATATTCAAGATGCTGTTTGTTCTTACAACTAATGCCGAGTTCAGACCGCATGATTTTCAAAGTAGTCACGGATGTTTTCAGTCTGCATGATTATCTGGGTTAGCGTTCTGTCTGTGCTGTGTTTACACTGTAGGTTGAATCGGGGACAGGAGAGTTCACACTGCATGACTTTAAAATAGGAAGAATCACAGACAACTTTGTCCAAACTACATCTCACAACCAAACAAACGCGAGAAGTGACATGTAAAGAACGCGAGGTCACGTAGTATATCTTTCGTTATTAACTACATAATGGAAAAAGAAGGCTTTAGCTTTAGCAAGTTTATCAAGAAATAACAAGGTTTATTTTTTTAAACAACTAAAAGATCTCAGAAGCATCTCTTTGGAAGGGAATCCAGGCCAAAATAATTAAAAAAAAACTTGCGAGGAAATAATCTTAACTTAACTGTTCAAATAAAAAGTACCCCAAATAAAATTACAGCAAACTTCCCTTTCTCCCTCGCTGTCACAAACCAAGAGAAAATGGTTTTAAAGTAAATGGCGATTCCCAACCTACAGCTTCGATTTAAATAAAAAATATATAGTTTTAATAAGTGAAAACAAAACACACAGGCTCCGATCTAATACGGTGAGCAGTTTAAAAAAGAAATAAATTGTCAGCTAACAAAGTCAGTTAATCACACCACTAATTCAACAAACGATTTAGGGCATGAGATAGGAGACACTCGGAACAACAGCAGCGGCGGCGGCAATGACAATGGAGATTTGTGACCTGCACTGAGCAGAAAGATCCATCCTTTGTTCCTCTCCTCCAGCTTATACACGCTTCCACTCGCAACACAGCTGAACCGCAATCGCAGCTCTAGAGAAAGAGAGAGACCTGCGCATGCTCCACAGCGCGCAACACAACATTAGCTCCAGTTGCATTAACAAAATACCAATCTGTATATATATAATATTTATATATATATATATATATATATATATAAATAAATGAACAAATAATTATTACGTTCTGTAACGTAATAGCATACACTATGTACAGTTGCCTTGAACCGGGCCAAAGCACAATTGACCCCCCCAGGGTCAGGTTTGCTGAAGGTGCAGCTGTCGTGCAGTGAGGGGTTTGCGTCTTTAATAATCTACGGCAGTTTCTGTTCATTGAACAGTAAGAATGATTAATAAATCCATACCAAACAGTCCCTATAAAGTCACGTCTCTCGTCTTCAGTTTCGGGCTCAGGCGTGCTTTGCACTCACACTATAATCGTACCACGCTAAAGCCCAAGTGAACCACGCTCTGGCACACCTCTTCCAACTGAGCCAGGGCTGGCCAAATGAACCGTGCTTGAGCCTGATTCAGAGCACTCACACTTCTCAAACGATCCAGGAAACGGACCTGGGCACAGTTCAGATAGCACAGTGTTAGATAGCCCTCAGAAACTTGTGGTGCTCACCTGGCTTTTGAAGAGAATTATCAATTTCTCCTCA